CAACAACCGAAAGCAATTTTCCCAAAAACAAATGCGACCCCCTTCTCCTCCTGCCCCCTCGTGCGACCAGAAACAGTCCCCTTGCTGGGATCCCCAGAATGCAACGTGCCCTGCTCCCGAATAAAAAGCATAGTACCGAAAAATCAAAGGAGTGCATGTTCAGGAAACGCGCAGCAGAAAAGGTTGCCGCATGTCAACACGAGTTCGCTTTGCGAAACGCAAGGCGTGGAACGGATGACGCGGAACGTGAACGTCTACGCGAAGAATTGGCGCGTGTACAAGTGGAGTTGGACCGAGCCGTGACTACGATCCGCCAACTTGAAGGAAGTATTCAGACCCAGGTGGGCACCAGTATTTTGTCACAATTGTTTACTGGGTCAAACGATGGCCTAGACATTTTTTTGTTCCAGATCATAATCACGAAGAGGAAACTTGTCGGCGCCTATCTGACTTTAATGGTTCTCCATTATAGATTCAATTTTCTTCAAATTTTGAGCACATTTCATACAAAATACACAATATTTGCCCTTAAAAATCGCAGGATCAGTCCTGCGTCCAGGACCTGGGGTCCAGGAAGTAGCTCTCAAGCGCATTTTATAGTCAAACATTTTATGTGCAGTCAAGATCTCTGTATATTAAAATAATGTTACCCATATATTTCTCCAAGAACTCTTGTCAGGAGGTCTTGGGTGGAACAATGGAATCGCAGTACCGTAATGCGTTGATGGAATTGGAAACCGCAAGGGACGAGAACTGTGCTTTGAAGGCGAAAATACGTCGACAGTACAAGCAGATAGAGTTACTGACACGTAAGTGTTTCCTAATTTATACAACCTTCAGGGGGAGTTAGATTAAGGGGGGGGGAGAGTCCTGCACTTTGCTACTTCCCACAGCGACGTGTTGACCCTTCTGAAGAGCCATTTCGTTAACTTACAAAAGTTGCCAAATTTTACCATGGTTGCTCGACGAGTTTGTTACAGCTTCACAAGAGTTCACAGGTTTCACCAGAGTGAGACTTGTAAACCGGAACTAGTGAAGCAGCGACAGTGCAAAATGCCCCCCCCCCCCCTCCCTTCTCTTCGCCAAACTCTGCTGAGACTTTTATCATCAACTTTCTGAAACTCAAGACACGGAAAAGATCCAAGGACAACCACAAGCTATCGAAACTCAAACACGGAAAGATCCAAGGACAACCACAAGCTATCGCATAGCAATCAGGACCTTGGAGAGAATTTCCACTAAAGAGGACCCCATAAAAATCTTTTTCTCCTGCACTCCCCCCCTACCCCTTGTGGTCTCCGTTGCCGTGGAAACTAGCAATCCGGTCATTCGATCAAACATGGCAATGAAATAAACCTGAAATTGGCTCATAATATATTGTGCTCGTCCCGTACTTCAAGCACAACACGCAGTCCCTAGTTAGCGCCATACGGCCTCGCCCTTTCCTACGTTCGACTTCAGCATCGGTATGGAATGCTAGGCGTTTTTGTCAACAAACCTGTTGGTACTTTCGCTGAAGCGGAGCTGTAGAGAACAATTTCCCACCAGCTATACGTGAGAGAACGCAGACAACGCGCGCGTCAGGCTGGCCGTATTGCGCGTGCCTTATAGCGTATAAGATGAGACGGACATCCCAGGTACAGTCATCGTCTCTGCAAGTGCGAGTGCGTTTGAGGGGAGACGGGGTGGATTAGTGCGATTCCAAAGCGGTCCAATTCAGGTCAAATTCTTCCATCGAGGACCCTAGTAAGTAATTTCCTCTCTGCACCTTGCATTCTGTATAATCCACCATCACTGAGGAGCTTTCTAAAATAAACGGATTAAGGTGATCCGTCTGAGACAGGCGAAACCTACCAGTCAAAGTCTTTCATCAGTACTTTGCCTTGTTTCATTTTTCATTTCATTTCTTTCGCATTTCTTGTTTCAGCCAAGGTGGGGGTGGGGGGGGGGGTTGGAGGTTCCACAAATCGTTATCATCCCAAGCCCACGTAAAAGGGTGGGAAAGGCTGGCCTGGCTACGTTTCAGCCCACGCCCTTCACACGCCCTTTCGGGTACAGCTGACCGTAACCTGATAGAATGTTCTGGGCAGTTCGACGAAGGGAGGAAGGGGGGGGGTGGGCATTTTGCACTTTTGCTAGTTCCCATCGACGCGTCGTCTCATCTAGAGCTTTTTCTTGAATTGACAGGTTTTATCATGGTGATTCTACGAGCTTGTTCCAGCATCACAAGAGTTAACAGGTTCGCCGAGTGAGGCTTGTAAACCAGAACTAGTCAAGCAGCGAAGGTGATGCCCCTTGCCGAACTGCGCCGAGTTTTCTCGTGAATAAATCCGTGTGTTATGCTGCATTAAGATTTTGCAGAACAGGACGAAACCAGCAGCGCTTTGAATACGTTTGAGAACAAACTGGAAAGAATGGACCAGAAAGAGCACTGAAAACTCTAAACTGAGGAACACTTTGCCTCAGAGAGGACTTCTTGGAGTACTGTATGACTCGTTTTTGTTGTGTTTATTTATGATGATATTTCACAGAGAATGTAACCGGTAGTTTTCAACACATACACTTATGTTTTTGATTTCGCTGTTATGTAGTGAGTTTCTGTACGTGATACTGAATCTTGTCTCTGTCCCGGCTCAATCGCATTTCATTTCCACGTATTCGGTGTTTCATACTGGTTAATAAATGTTTTCTTGAATCACTGCCACGAAATAAACAAATAGCGATGAATCGGAGTGCTCCGTAACGAACACGTCCGGGAGATTCACGTTGCGAAGTCGCGAGCGACCTCGTATACGCGGCAATCGCCCAAGGCCCATATCGTGTGAAGTGGAAGTACCAGGTTACGTGACAAGTGGAGCTTTTGTGCACGGTCCTGTTGCCAAATCCTGCGACGCAGAAAGTCAAACGGTAGCTGTTACCAAAGTATCAGAAGGGGCAAAAAACACATGGCGAGTCATGGGATGGGCTTCCTTAAAGGGCGACGGCCCGCGCAATCGTAACTTGCCGCGCCGTCGCGCGCGGATATCGTGCTGCGAT